ACGTGCTTCCTTCTTTACGCAAAGCTGTATGCAAATGAGCAAAAATGTAAACAATGACGTCAGCATGAATCCGCCTATAGGATTTCAAAGTGATGAGCTTGAGTCGACTGTATTCAATAAATCAGCAAAAGTTTATCTTTTGTACACATGCACCACTGAATTAGAGGAGGCAAATCCAAGTTTGAGTATCAATATTTTGGTTTAACAAAGAAAAGTTGCATTGAAACACTACTGGTATCAAAGTTCGAGTATCAGTATTTTGGTTTAACAAAGAAAAGTTACATTGAAACACCACTGGTGCCAATTTTAATGATGCCTAACTGTATCAATGAAGAGCCTGTTCATGGTCAAGTCAATATATAATTCCCGAGGTGAGCCAAATGTAATGATTAAACAAACAAATTTAGGACAGCTTGTAGCAAGAAAATTGCAAAGATATGTCGTGACTTCCATGGCTTTTTCATTCCTCCATGTGAAATAGGTGGTGACAAGCCAGGACCTGTTCCCGTCATCATTACTACGCTGTACGGTGATCCTGTAGCAAAGGGAATATATACTTACAAGGAAAGGAGACCGGAATATCCAAAGAATAATGTGCTGAACAAGTTCCCTAAACGAACGCTGAACGATATTGAGGCGGGTTTGGAAGAGACTTTAAAGCGTATCAAGAGTTTGACCAACGAGAGCCAGGGAAGTGAAGAAAAAACAAGTGAAAATTATCATCAGATAGGTAAATTTCCATGTCTTTTTCAAGCAAAACCTGTCCTCACAAATTTCTCCCGGAGGATGAATAGTCTCTGTCAAGAGCTGAGAATGATTCAGAAAGGTGAGGAATATGTTTGGTAAAGATGCTGATTTGTGATCCCTCTCTCAAGAATACAATTCCACCATTGTTGCTGCCGGCATTTGGGTTTACTTCTTTACACTATTCGGCCAAACGAAACAAAACGAAATCAGGTGAGGAATTACCTTAACACGTATTTTTTTGACACGAGATCTGCAAAATTCCCTTGCGAATTAAAGGTAGGAATTCCTAGGAATTCCTAGGATTTTCCTAAGAATTCCTAAGAATCTATTCCTAGGAATTCTTAAGAATTCCTAGGAATTCCTAGGAACAAAGGTGTGAATTTTCACGGTAATTGGAACATGGAATTCCTAGGATTTCCTAGGAATTCCAAGGTTTTCTAATCTTGCTTGGTGTGGGTGCGTAATTCCCAAACCAGAGCTTATTTGCATAGTTAGGAATGTTTGAGAATTCCTAGGAATTCCAAGTCCTCACAAAACTGGAACCTTCCTTTCCCAGAAATTCCCAGTAATTCCAAGCTTTTCAAATCAGAGCTTATTTCCATAGTTGGGAATTTTTGAGAATTCCTAGGAATTCCTAGGAATTCCAAGGAATTCCCAGAAAACTGGGAATTCAGTTCGCAAGGGTTGTTTATGAAGGAGAAAATGTTCCATTTCGCCAAAAAGAGGGTCTCGATGGGGTGATGGCTTTTACTACTAATAGTTAAAATTTTAGCCAGTTTACAGCTAACGATTAATATCATTCCGTGGTCGTTACCAAATATTTCACTCTTTTACGACTATTGGTTAAAAATTTTCAATTTTTACGCCGAATGGCTTAATTTTTTGGCTGCATTACGTCTATCGTTTAACCCTCTGAGACCCTCAAAATAGAAATTCCTAAAAATAGCTATTCTCCGTAATGTGATTCAGTACGGTTAAAGAAATTAGAGGTGACAAAGATCTTCAGGAGTATACTTATAATTATGTATTGTCGTGACATTTAACTCTGGCATTGTCACCGAAAGGTGAAAATAGTCGTTTCGCGAAATGTACATCTTCAAAATTATTACCTTGCGAAATATACTTAATATAAGGAAACCAAAATCTTCAGTAATATTATGTCTTATGTTTGACGTATCTTTATGACATGAAAACATCATAATTTTCTTTGCGAAATGAACAAAAATCGTGATAATCAGTTGACAATTACTACCAAAATCCTTGTCAAAGTTCTCTTTACTTTATTAAAAAAAATACGGTAGCCATCCTCAAGTTTCGTTATTTATCAACTGGTTTCGTTTCGCAAAATAGATTAAATCTCAATGTCAGCAATAACAATGGTGAAATTGTATTCTTGAGAGATGGATCACAGCTCAGCATTTTTAACCAAACATTTCTACCAAGATTTAATTCAACATTCATTCTTTCCACCATCCTTGCGTTGTCATAAACTTCCCTGATAAAAAAAGGTGCTAAATTTGTATTGAAAACAGATATCGAAAAACCTGATCAACCTCAGCAATATGAGAAAGCTTTAGCCCTTTAAGATATGTATAATAATTTATCTTGTCTTAATTTTTTTGGGCTTTTTAATTTAGAGATACTGTTTCAATTGGTTGATGGTCTACGGCGTGTGGTTGATACTGTAGCTTCAATCTACTCATCGGCTAGACCGTTCGTCTCTGGGGAATCCTGGGAGGAGATAGCCATGTATCTTAAAGAAATAGCCAAAAGGTATGCAAATGAACATTTAAAAGGAAGTAGGTTTTGATTCAATACATAAAACCACGCATTATCTGGTTTTAAAGATAATTTACTCCTTAAATATTTTATTAATGTTCATCACTCGGAGTTAGGTTGATGTGCTGTCTCTTTTAATTGTACAGACTCCCTGTGGAAGATGAAACAAAGCCCTTGCTGTTAGCTAGAGATGTTGAAAAAAAACAAACACAGTCCGGTAAGAATAAACCGCACAAAACTATGTACTTATTGACTGAGTGGGAGAGCCGGATGGGAAAATATTTGGCTCTAGGTGATGACGTACGGACCGAGCACAGCTCGGTCCGTACGTCATGAACAGGAGCCAAATATTTTCCGATCCGGCTCTCCCACTCAGTCAATAAGCATTTTATCATAGAAGCACTGACTAAGTTTTGTAAATTCGAAAAGGTTTGTTTTAACTTAAATAGGGCGCGAAAGATTGGCAATAAAATTTTTCCTCCTTTTTCGAGTTAGAACTAGAAACTCACAATTTGTTGAGAAACGTGATTAATTGCCTTATTTTTGTTCACTGTTGTCACTCGTTTTTTGCAACAATAGCTAACAATTTTGCCGTACAAGTGCACTAGGGCCGGGCGGCTTTTTCCAGACCGGCTCACTTCAACCCGTCCGGCTCTACACAAATCAGCTTTCACTGTGGTTTTCTATGGGATTGAGCGAGCAGGGCCGGACGAGTCACATGATTAAATATGTTATTTTCTCAAGCAGTATCGGTAAACTTAGTTAAATAATCACCAAAACTTACACACACACAATAAGAAAAAAAAAATTAACAAAACAGAACTAGATAAAAAATGATCCAAGCAAATATTCCATCGACAATGAAGAACGGAAAGCTGCTGTAGTACTTTTGACTACATTTTATCCTCCCCTAGCCTTGAGAAATAAAATCGGAATCAAGAGGAATATCCAGTCTCGATGATAGCGCATTGATCAAGGGTAAAAAGGGAATGAATGTGACAATTTTAAATTTGTGATTTTTTTTACAATCGCGGAAAACGTGAATAAGTACTGATAGAGTAATTAAAAAACCTGCTGTCTGGGCAGATGAATCCCAAAATTTTTCATCCACTATTACAAGAGAATGACAGTAGACAATGTAATTGCTCAGTCAAGATTGACTTGTTAAAGTCAGGGGGAATAATTTCAGAATAATTTTAGATTAAATATTCAGGCAAGCTGTGCTCTACAATCGAACCTGGATTAAGCGGGGGTATGAAGCGGTCTCTATAATTTTAACCTCTATGGAGCGGTTACCTCTAGTAAGCGGTCACGGTCACCTTTATTAAGTCCCAACGGCCTGTTTGTTTTTTCTTACACCTGTACTGAGAAATCAGAGCCACTCAAATGAAACTAGGAACAAGCTGTCAAGCATATTTCATCCATATTCATCTCCTGAAATCAATATTAATAGTATATGTAAACGAATTTTTGTACATTCAGTTGTCAATTGTGGCACAAAATGGCGTTTTTTCATTGTTTTTTATAACACCTCTTTACTGTGGAACCCGTATTATGCGTTCAACCACTTATACAGGTTCGACTGTGTATACTCGATTGCAAAAACTTTGACACCTACAGGTAAAGAGTGTCCACTGAGACTTAATGAGCTTATGGCTTTGTATGTATGATAACTACATTACGTTGCACCGGGTGAAAGGCGGAAACTTTCTTAGCTTTCCTGCAAACGAACAGCTATTCGAATGACAGATTAGCGATCAAGAGTTTTATTTGCAAAAGAATGATTATCTTTTATTTATGAAAACCTCCGTAACTAAATTACAGAGACAAGAATATAACTACAGAGCAAAGCTACTGTGACTTTATAGTCTCAAGATTCTGAGACTTTGTGCCACTGACGAGAGAGCTTTCTTAAAAATTTGTATTTTTGCTCATCTTGTTATGAAATAGTGTCAAACCAAGTGGCGGAAGATCAAGCTTCCGAAGAGGAGTATATCGGAGAGGCTGAAACATTAGAGCAAGATTCGGAGAGTGAGAGCACTGATGATAAAGGTAATTTTGAAAAAAAGATATCGATGAAGAGAGTTTCTTTGTAGGTAGGCAAGGTGTTAAGCTATAACTTAAGAGGTCTCAAATTGGAAAATTATGAAAGAAGATGAATGTAATTAAGGGCAATTAAATTGTCTGAGATATAGCAGGAGCCCTTTTGGACTCCTGGATATACTAAATGGGGTTTTATTTGCCACAGTTATGAGACTGACGATGATGTCTCTACTGTAGATTCCTTTAAATCATGCCGTCCGAAGGTCTCTGTTCATCCTGTGTTGAGCGAAAACTGATGAAATTAAAACTATTCGCTGGTTACTTACTGTATTCAACTGTATTATTCTGAAGTATAGTTACAGTTAATCATAGAGCAAATTGAAAACAATACGCCTTGGATCAGGACAAGAAGCTATGCAAGTCGGTACTTCTTTTATTTGCCATAGTACAACAGTTCTCTTATTTTTGATTGCAGAACATTTTAACGTAAAACTTTTCAAAAAAGTACTGAAAGATCATTCCACCTCAGAAAAGGGGTATTTGGGAGATACTGAAATATCTGAAGATGCAGAAGGAGAATGCAGTGATGGCGATGTTCATTTGGAACCAGACAATGATGAAGGTAAAACTCTCACCATAATGACTCAATGTAGCGCCTGGGGCGCTAATTTACTGTTGGCATGTCAGGGGAGGGCGCTTATTCGAATGAAGGCGCTTATTAAGGACATGGCCCTTATTTCTTTCTTGAGAAACAGCAGAAATTGTGAAACAAAGCTTTGATATTTATTTATATTTAGAAATGATTAAATAGAATGAAATATGGGTTGTTGACCCCTTCTGGCAAGAATGACCAGCCAAGCAATCGTCATAAAAATTTTTGGATAACTGATTCGTTCGACGGAACTGTGCACTCACATGGACATAACAATTTAAGGACTGAAACTTAGGCCACTATTTTTCTATAGAGGCTTTGAGTAGGCCTTTAAAGGAAGATGAACCAGGATAATCTAACAAGGGGTTCTTATTAGCATGGAGCACTGATGACGAATGCAGCCAATTACTCACGATTCATTTCGAAATAGATAGATGGGGTTTACTTTTCTTTCTTTATGGACCGACCGAGACCGGTAGATGGATTAAACTTAAGTTTGTTGTTTGAAATGATCCCACTTAATTAGGCTCTACGCCGTTTACAAACAATTCTTAAGAGGTAAAACTTAAGTGCAGTTGATCTTCATATATTTTTATTTTATCAAATTTTTTTTTGAAGGATTTTTCTCACACATTTCCCTTACTCGATAAAAGAAAATCCGACGGTAAAGTTGAAGCCGGTGGTTTTCCTCTTTCTGATTTTCTTATGACTATTGCAACTTTAGTTTATTTCAGTTTTAAATTCTTTCAAAGTGCATTTAACCCATTTGTGTGATTTAAAGAGGAAGAATTAAAGGTTTCTTTTTTCTTCTATGAAAGTACTCTATTTTCCTCTACGATTAGTCAGACTTAGTTTAAGACTTACTTTATAGGTGTCTTGTCATCGGGAAATGAGGAGAAACCAGGAGCAAGTGACTCAGGCAAGGTAAATAGGCTTACTTAATGATAGATAGGTCTAGGAAGTATTAAGAGATAAATATTTTATAAAACCTCTCCATGAATCTGTCCTGTATGGTTCGCTACGATCCTCAGTAACTGGATTTCAAGTTGATAATAGTTAATGAGCCTTCACTTCCGGATGAAGCATTTCCTCAAAGGGTTTTTTCCCTTCAGTTGTCGATTGTAAGAGCTGGAACAGTCTTATTCGTAACATGTTTGATGACTTGACTGGTTTTCATTTTGATAAGGTGATCTGTTACGGTTGATATCTTCGTAATCATGTGAAAAAGTAACTGCATTTATCTTCACTGATCGGTCCCTTCAGTTGACCTCAGAGCTTTTTCTGACTTAATGTGCAGAAGTTTCATAATGATGACAAATTTTGAGATCTCTTCCAAGTGGGATTCTTTAATCGTAATTTTGTGAAAAAATGGACGTTATCAGTTAGATGCAAAGTTTTTACTCTTGATGTGTTTGTACTTATAGCAGCCATTAGCAAGCCTTTGAGTTTATCTTGTTAGAGGGTAGAGAATGCTGTCATCCGCTTTGTCAACGGTGTAGACAAAGAAATAGTCTGAGTTCCCGCGAAATTTCGCGCTCTGATGCTCTGATCACTTATAATATTCTGAGCCCAAAGAGAGAAAATCTGTACACGACAATATGGATATAAATTTCGAGTTGCCTTTAAAGAGGGCATAATCACTGTTACCTGTATGTAAAACATGTTTCCTTTTGCCTTTTCTAAATCCTTCTAGATTTTGAATCAGCCAATATTCAGCTTTAAACTTTCCAGAAATATAGTTCAAGATCAGCCTGCAAAGTAAACAAACAATTTAAGAACAAAGCCGTGCAGGATCTGAAACTATATAAGGAGGTAGACTTGTTTCATATCGAACCGAAACAAGTTGCAAACAATTCATGAAACCCAGTTTTTAGAGAAACCTAGAGTTAAGTATAGGTTTGCTTTCAGGAAAGTAATCGGAGGGACACCTACTCAGAGGCTGAGCTTTTGAGACCAAGAGCACCTTCTACGGAAGGTATGTACAATGCTAAGACAACATTTCAATCGGGTACCAAGTGTAGGTCATGTGGACGATTAAGTGGAATAACATGGGATTAAACTCTCTCTGTCTGGTTCACCAGAATAAACGCCTCACCAATTAAATTTCCTACTAGATGTTTACATATCGCTGTGTATCTGTTTACCTCCACTTTGGTTAATCATTGTTTCATATTGAAACTTTCTGGTATGATTTTACATTTGATGTGTCTTTTTTTGTTACTTGTGTAACTGCACTCGGTGAACTGTTTTTTTCAAATAATTAACTTTCTGATATGAAACTTTCTGGTATGATTTTACATTTGATGTGTCTTTTTTTGTTACTTGTGTAACTGCACTCGGTGAACTGTTTTTTTCAAATAATTAACTTTCTGATAAGTTTGGAAATTCCTCCCCCCTCCACCATTGAACAATTCAACTTACGTCAGTGTAATCTTAGATGCTGACAAGAGGAGAAGACCCAAAAGAAGACGTTCAGAATCCAGGTCTGCCAGACGAGAAGAAGTGCGTCAAAAACTGGATAATGAACTAAAATTGCACAAAGGACGAGCCAACACCCCAGTTGAGAAAAACGAAGCCCTTGAGAAACAATTCTCTGAAAAAGGTACGTACCAAGCGAACTTGTAATTTTCAAATCTATAGAGACTGAGATTTTTGCAGTATGCACCTGGCTAAGAAAAGGTTTTTCGACCAACTCGAACAATTAGACATTCCAGTTCTTGGCGATTAAGATTGTGCTATCTCTTTTGGCCTAGCTGGATACTCAGCCGGAGAACTTATTATTTTCTCATGATATATCTGTTTGTGTTCCAGTTCACACACGGTATTACTTCCTTCACTTGACATACCTTGCCAGGCCACAAAGAAAATTGAAGGAAGAAAAGTTTCCATTAACGGAAAGGCTAATACAACTCCGACCAAACGAATACAAAATGATAAAAAGTAGGAGTGAAAGGAAAGATCAATTAATAAAAATGTTAGAAGACCTCCAAGAAGACTTAGACGAAATAACACAAGTTAAGGAGGATGCTGAACAGCAAGTAGAGAACATGGAAGTAGAGTCAAAGGTAAAAGATGAAAATGTGAAAGAGCTGGAAGAGTATTTGCCTACAGGTCTACAAACTCTGGGTGAGGACTTACGAACCATCCCCTGTAAATGGGTCAGTTTATGCCTCGAGTTTTTCTTGACAGATGCAATACTTGGGGAAGGTGCATGGGAACAGATATCCAAAGTGACAAGCCATGAGTTTAAAAGCTTCAAACAACTTTGCGTGCAGCAAAATCTCAAGGAGCGACCTAATATGCAACAAATCAGATTCGAACTAGAGGCCTCGCTTGACCCCCAATCTGAAAGGGAAGACGCTCAACTATCAATTGAAGCGATAAAGCAAAAGCTGAGAGGTATTGTTATAGAAAGTAACGACGAGAATCAGCCAAGGGAAATACATCAAGCAGCAAATGAACCGCACATGACGAGTGGCATGCAACCAAGTCGAGAGGTAACTGTCTGGATAATCTCACCTGATCAACTTGAGCTTAGACATGAAATGGTTGTGGAATGTGCATGGGGAAAACCTCTGCTGGTAAGATTTGGAGGCTGCAAAGTGCCTGTGAAACAGGGTCGCAGCTTGATTCACTTCTCTTCCAGATTCTCATGTGAACGAAAAATGAAGGTTGCTTCAAGATGCCGCCACCCTTGTTTGCTGCAGCTCACTGGGGCAACAAACGGTGAAAGAACTCCTTTGCTTGTAACAGAACTAATGGAAACCAGTCTGCGAGCGCTATTGGAGCCCCAATTTCAAACTCTCCATGAATTGGGAGTCTCCATTAGCTCTTTTGATGAAACAACCACTACTGATTACTTAAACTCCACTATATCTCCACTAATCATCCCCCGCTATCTCAGCAGTGATTATGTGTCACTATGGCCTCATGGTTGGCAATGGCGAGGCAAAGTCTATGAATATGGCTCGGATGATTTTCTTCCGCAAATAACGACACCTAGAGCAAGGATCTATCATGCTCCTGAAGCAGTTACTGAAGACAAACAGACAATCAAGGTAAGTGGTAACATTCAGAGCTTCTTGTATTGAACCCACAACCTTCGTCATAGTTTTTCGTAACACCCCACTCACCTCACCATATTGATTGACTTTTTTCAAGAGGTGCAATTAAATAAGGAAAATGTCTCAAGTGGTGTGAAAAGAATTGTATGAATAGAAATGCAATTCCTGAGAATTAGCATGAATTGTTAACACTCTAACTTTGTTTCAACTGATCCTTTTACTCAAATAGGCTTTTGCGGTTATGTCAAAGTAAAAGAGACTTTAATACAAGGAACAGCGCGGATGCTGTCTAAGATATAGCTCAGCACTAAAGTCAGGTTACGTGCATGAGCAATTATAACCTAACCAAAGTAAAGTGCGCGCTCTCATTGGTCAATTCAGTGTCCATCACTTGGCCATGAGTGGTGATACACTGCTGACGTGTGAAAAAACGTTAAGACTAGTTTCTGCGCGCTTGTTTCTGTTCCTGGTTAGGTAAGATTTGTTAAATAAAAGGGTCCTCCGGCTTTCGCTAAGGTGTATCAATGTTACGTTATAAAAGAAATGGTAAGCACCACAGGGTAAACTATTGAGTTATGGATGTACTCGGAAGGTTTGCTAAGAACTTAAGAAGTCAGAGTCACCCTCTGCAAATGCCTCGCGTGACTCTTACGCTTCTTTCGTGCTTAGCAACCTTCAGGGTGCTTTCATAACTCAATGATGTATGCTTTGGTGTTTACCATTGTCAAATAGTATACGCTGTTTCGTTTATCTTCTACTACATTAATTTTGAAGTGCTAGGAAAAGAATTGTATGATCGAAGTGAATGAGATTGGGAATGCAATTCCTGAAAATTAACATGATTTGTTAACACCCTAACTTTGTTGCACCTGATCCTTTTTACTCGAATAGGCTTTTGCGGTTATGTTTGTTAAATAAAAGGGAACTATCATATATCAATGTTATGGTATAAAGCGAACGGTAAATACCACAGCACTCAAAAAACTGGAGTCGCTCTCGGCTATCGCCTCGTGCGACTCTTACGCTTCTTTCATGCTTAGGAACCTCCAGCGTGCATCCATAACTCAGTGGTGTACGCTTTGGTGTTATCCATTTGTTAAATAGTGTATGCTGTTTCAGTTATCAGCGACTGCATGAATTTTGTAAGAAAAATAATCCAATTTTTATGTTGTTTTCGTCAGATTGATGGTTACAGTTTGAGATTTATTCTTTATGAAATGTTGAGAGGTTCTGCTTTGAAAACTAACGATGGGGATCAGCCAAGGGAAATGCACCAAGCGGCAAATGAATCCATCATGACTAGCAGCATACAACCAAGTCGGGAGATACCTGACTGGATCATTCCACGTGACCAAATTGAGCTGACATGTGAATTTCTTGGCAAAGGAAATTGGGGCAGGGTCTCAAAAGGCTTATTCCATGGCTGGGCCGTAGCAGTGAAGCAAATCCATAAGCTCACCCTTTCCCTTAAAAACCCCTGTTTGCTGGAACAAGAAACGGAGATTGTTTCACGATGCAGCTGCCCTTTGAATGTGACAGAGCTCATGGAGACAAGTTTACAACTACTGTTGACTTCGAGATCTCAGTCAAAAGCAGAAGTCTGTGCTATATCTCTGGATGTGGCTTTGGCACTGAACTACCTTCACAACAGAGAACCGTCTCCAAACATTCACCGAGACGTCTGCACTGGCAGTTTGTTACGGCGACAAGAACATCAACGGAGAGGACAGTTGAAAGTTTTAATCCCCACAACGTTCCAACAAGAAATCATGACAACAGCTCCTGATAACATGCTGTACAGCGCACCCCAAGCAAAAGGAACGAAGCATGCTGTCGAGGTTGGTGATTATGATATTTTCTATTCAGAGTAAATTATCTTACAGTAAATGGTTTGAACCAATGTAACAGTAAATCGTTTCCTCTGATCATTCATGCCAGAGCACGATGAGGTGTAATGCATTTCTCTGGAACCAGTTTCAGCGATGCTGAACAAACCCTTAACCCGTTTGTTAATGTAAATATGATCTTTATTCCTCGGGGGCATAAATATTTTCTGTTGAAGATTCTCAGCAAAATTTTAGCAACTAACTGCGAACTTTGGTTTAACAACTCACTGCAGACTTGTGACAAATTCCAACAGCTGTTGGCACATGACAAACGTTGACTTACCTCATCAACATCAATGGTGATCAATGATCAAACTCTTAGAACAGCTCCGCTTAACTGTATCGACGAATTAAAAGACTGAGCCGTTCACAAAAACAAGCGACACTTGAGCTCTGCAACCGACGGTGACCTGTGACAGCACTTTAGTCTTACAACTTTTCTCTGATGATGACTTCCTCTCACCATAAGGCCTACCTAACTTGAGAATATGAGCCGAATCGATTTTTGGCTGTTGCCACCAAATGTTTGATAGTTGGTAACATTTGCTCTTAATTAGTAACGCCTAATATAAGATGGAAAATTAATTACAGCAAACTCTGTTTTTTGAGTGAAATTCCTTTCTTTTATTCAAACGAGCCTTATTGGAGTGCTCAGTTGTTCTCTTTGGTATCTCTTTGGCACCCCATGGTTTTGGGATTTTGTTTCTAATTTGCTCTTTCGGGCTCCAAAGGCCTTGTTTTGGGATTTTGGTATGGTTTTCAGTTGTAGGTAAAAGTGGGTCTACCCTTTTCTAATGCTTGCTGCATTGCCTCTTCGATTCCGCTACTCATTTTAGCAAATTTAGCTTTTTATCTTTTAGTTTTTAGGTTTTATCTCTTGTATTTTGTCCATTGTTTTCTTTGTAACTTGGTTTTTTGTCATCTTTTTATTAGCAGCACTTTCTGCTCTTTCATGTAATTTTGTATCCAGTTCATTAGTCGGCACCTGTAATCACTAGCACCTCGATCTCATCTAAGCTCTCTTTAGCATTTGTTCCAAGTTTCAATCTATTTGGTTTGATTGATTCTAACCAACGAGTTCCCTGGATAGATGAAAATGGAGTTGCTCTGGAAAAATAATTAAAAGAACAAAATTTACAAACAATGAGAAAATATCTCACATCGTACAAACACAGGCTTTATGAAGCTATATCAAATGAGTTGAAGCCTTTAGCATTAAACCAAGAAAATACGACGTGTATCGATTTCATCATGTCAGCAAAACATTGAGATGAATTAAAGTCTTAATGCAAAAATCATCTTTGACATGGTTAAGTACGCCATTGATTATCTATTGCTTGTTGGTTTATTTGTTCTGCTTTGCAGGAGCTGAAGAAATGTGTTGATGCTAGCAGCCAGATTGTAGCAGAAATGGGAACATCAGCAAAAGAAAAAATCTATGATTTTTCGGACAAAGAGCGGTAAATTTTAAAGGAGTTGGAGGAGATGCAGGGCAAGCTCACAGAAATTGGACGTTCCCTAGAGATACCGGATTTGAGGGAAGATACTTTTGCCTTGAACATAACGTTCGACCTCATTACCAAACATAGCAGAACTCTCCAAGACCTGTACACCGGAGTAAACGGAATCACGAGAGAAGCTTGTAAATGCGACGAGTTCGTTAGGGTGAAGTTTTATGACTTCACATATCACAGCTTAAGGGCTGTTCATAATGATTTGATTGCACGTGTTGCGGAACTACAATCAGAAGAAAAGAAAATGACAGAGACGGAAAAAATAAAACTGAAATGTCTGGTGTCGTACCGAAACGGCAGAGAAAGAGAAATCGTGCAACTGGAGAAACTGTGGAAACGACTTTTCTCCCCGGTATGTTAGGGTGAAAATTTTAGCATCCAAGTTATCCGACTCTGTGAAACGAAATATTTATCGCGGGTAATCTGTGCATGCTGAGATTCCAAGCGATGTGATTCCTTTGGCTTAAAGAATCATTCTGTATAAGAGAACACATTGGTTAACTTTTTCTGCTGAATAATTGGGATTGAAATACAATGAAACTATTACTTTAACCCTTTCCTACACGTACATGGTCTCGAAAATGTAACTCTCAGCTTTAATCTCGTCCCAGGGTCTCTCATCTTCCCGTCCCCTGAAGCTTCTTCTCTCGCTCAAGAGGATGGAAAGATGAGAGACCCTGGGAACGAGGTTGCCTCAGCTTGAGACAACTTTACTGAGCAACTCTCTTGAAATGTTCCAATGCTTGCTTGTTTATCGTCAGTTGAGTTTGGCTCGGTTATTCGTAGGTTTGGGCTTTGTAAAGTTAAATTTCATCATCGAATAGCTCAGAAATAACAAATAATGTGGCATTGGTGGGAAAGTTCCAGCACCTGGCTTTGTAACATAACCATTGTACCACGCTACAACCTTTGCCATAGTATAAAGAAATCCTGATTTGCGTCGGTGCTTTTTGCCTTACCTCGCCTCTGACTAAAATTTTAATCAACAAAATTTGTCCAAGGTTTTAGATGAAAAAGAATCCAGGCTTAACACGATAAAGTGGGGACATCGCCTGGCCATGTTTCATCATCATTATTATCTTATTTTCCATGTACAGGTTGATGAATTGAAGAAGTCTCAATCAGCCCTACCTTCGCAGAGACAAACTCAGACGCCACCTCAGGTTGTTAGAATTTACTGTAACTTTTTATACTTCCGGTTTGTCCGATAGTATGCTTGACACTCCAAAGATTGTGATTCCCTCCTTAGCATTTTTCTGTTAATCACAGATTAGCAGAAAAAACACACTGGTGTTTAAGGATACACGTTTCCTGCTTGCTATAGACCCTATTGGCCACGCTTTGAGGACTTCTTTACTTTGTTCTCATGTCATTATTTTCATGATTTTCTTATTTTTACCCTGATAAGTCGTTTTGATATTTTAATCTGATTTTCGTCTTTCCTCTCCGAATCGAAAGGTGGCTTAATATCAAATTAATGAGCAGGAAAGTTTATCATGTCAGTTCCGGGAGAAAATTGCGGGATTAAATTGTTGAATATATGTTCCACGTTTCAGTTCGTTTGGTCTGATCGATTCGAAAGAAAAATTTTCTTTTATTGATGAAAATGGGGCTGCTCTAGCCTGGCTTCAATTTCCTATCGAACAGAGGGAAGGAAACACCTTATAACACGACAAATCTACAAACCCTCCCCTGCCCCTTTTGTGTACTCAATTTTTTTTGTGTGTGTACTCAATTTTTTTTCTTTTGAACAGAACCCCAGAGCATATTCAGAAGGGGCTCGGCCAAAAGAGTTAATAACAAAGGTAAGAGATATCTTATCCTGAATAGAATCAAAACACTTCCTATAACAAGGCCCTAAGAACATTAGAAACTATTTGAGTTAATTGTGCAACAAATCTTGTGATTAATCATCTTATCTAACAAACATATAACTTTCCCTGACCTTAATTCAAAAGTGAAAGAAACTAGAATAAGCTGAGTTTATATATCTTGAGAGGTCGACGCAACATTTACCAACCAGAGCGTGAAATAAATTAATATCAACAATTTATTTAAAGAAATGATCCTTGCAGGTGAGCTGCAATTGAAAGAATTGCAAAAAAGAAGCTTGCAAAAGTATTCAAAACTTCAATGTGAATCGAGTTACGAAGTTATGTGTTTGGAGCGACGAACATTTTGGTGCGTTCTTCCTTCCTGCAGAGGAATCTTGCCATGATTTGCATGAAATGAATTAAACATGAATCTTAAACTCTTTTCTTCGAGGATCATTTAGTCTTCACTTCGCTTTCATTCCCAGCTCAAAGACGAATCTGTTTCATTAAGGTTATGAATAATAATAATGATAATAAGGAATAATTCTGAAAGCAAATTTTTTTCCTGTGTCCAACTTAAGATGCATATCTGTATCAACAGTAGAATATTTCTTTGAGCCTACAAAAAAATTTTTTTTTTTTCGAGGATCTAAAAATACGCTCTCGTCAAAATCCTCTCAAACTATGATTACTAGAATTTCGGGTCGCGTCGAAGGAAAATACAAGTGCAGCTGTCGTCTTGTTGAAGAAGTGCAGCTGGTGATCAGTTCCTTTATTCTCCTGACCTTAATGTTGAAGACAGCAGTTGTAATATAAGAAGAAATTAGACGCTGGTGACTCTTAGGGGGTCGAAGGGTTAAAAGGCATTAACGATGCTTTTCTCATTGCAGTCAAGGATCCCCAGGATAAAGAAGAAAAGACAAGACAAAGAATCCTGTGTCCTTACGTCTTACAAAACAGATAATGACAGAAATCAAGATAAAGAATATAAGGACGAGTAATATTGACTCAGGACGAGAAATAATGACTCGGGACGAGAAATAATGACCCGGCTGTCGTCGTTGATCTGAGATGCTTTCATTTTCTTACACTCTGGAGATAGGTTTTCACTTGATAGACATATTCTCTTGTGGTTAGTTCTACTTCACCTGTAGGCTGGTTGACTTTGTGTTCAATAAGTGACACAGGATGAAATGACTAAATTAAGTTTCCTTAAAGGCAACTTAAAGGTTAACATTAGAAGTATTTAAGTCATCTTTAGGTGACATACAAAAGTTCTGAAACGTATCTTTAATTGAACTTTCCGAAGTCAATTAAAGTGTCCTTATCAACCATTTAGTTAACACTTTAAGGTCACATGAAAGGAAACCTAAATAACCATTTCATGAACACTTTAAGATCACATGAATGCAAACCTAAATAACCATTTAATTGATTTTAGGAATCCTCTTAATTCTTGTAAACTCAACTTTAGTCACCCAAAACTTCTACTTGTAAATGCATCTTAGAGGTTTCTTCAATCTTTTGTTTCTCTTTAAGTACTGCTTAAAGTTACAGGTTTTGTTGTAATTCATCTTTAGTTGTACTTTCAGATTCTCTTAAATTTCAAGTTTTGTTAACATTCATCATTAAGTGACCTTTAAGTGCCTCTAAAAGCTGCAGGTTTCACTTTCAACTGACTTTTGATTTGCTTAATCACACCCACATTTATATCCCAATAACTTATGATATTTTGGGCAACCTTACAATTGATAGAAAAAGAAGCATCACACATTCAAGTAATAACAAAGTGTTTGAAATTGCAGTGATGAAATAGTTTCGTTCAAAACTCATTTGTTCCCCTGAGATAACATAAACCTACAATGAAGCTGAGGATATCCCAGTCGAGCCCCATACATAATTAAAAAAAGAGATGTCCAAATGTTTGAATTACTGATTGACATACTTTATTAAAATTGTTTCACTTTTGTCCATAAAGTTTGGAAGATCAAAGCTCATTAATAATCATGAAAAAAACGGGACCAGAGAAAAAGTCCGGATAATCGAGGTTCGACTGTAACCACAAAAAAATGTTCACATAACATCTCAATATTTCAAACAGCAGCTTAGACTCGGATAAAAAAACTCAATCAAGATAAAGTAAAATATCTCTGAATCTAAAAACATATTACAAAAAAATCGTCATGATAGAAACCACCAGTCATCTTTTTTAAAAAGGAGTTTGTAAAAAAACCTCACAGTTCTCTAACAGAATGAAAAAAATTCAACAATCAGTTTGTAAAAAAAGTCCTATTTCTGCTTTCACGCTTTTTAAAAACCCTGGTTGTTTGAAGAAAAAAAGATGTAGAGCAATCGACACAAGCACAATTAAAAATTAACCTTACCAAAAAAAAAGAATAAAAAAACAGGCAAGGTCAAAAGGGTCTAAGAGAAAAAATGATAAAAAAAATTTTCCAACTAGATAATTCTCGTTGAAACAAAAGGGAGGAAAAAAAAAAAAAAGGTAGACCTGTTTACGGTAAAGGATTATCAAGTAAATGTAACCACATAAAAAAATGTCAAATGATTACAGCCGAAATAATTAAGTTAATTATGCATATAATAAAAAAACCAAACATGTACTCAACATAAAAGAAAATCTTCCACGAAACAGATCGAAAAAAAATTCAAGCAAATTATGAACACATATCACATTATTCATGCTTATCAGTAAAAAAATTTCACTCACTCGACAAGCCGGTGGAACTACTACAGTCGTTCACCTTAAAAAAATGTTTTGGCGCCGATGGACGTTTGGCTGCATTATCAACAGTTTGAAGAAAAAAATCGATCCACTGAAGCGCTTCAGAGTTTTCTTTGTTGCTGCGCTCTTGAAAAAAACGAAGCTTCACATTTTCGCTCGCCAGAGCGTGATTGCTGCGGATCAAAAAAAAAAGCAGCACAATACAATCGTCGGACACTTTATTCCTTTTTTCGCTGCTAAAAAAACATCATGGTTTTG